CCCCCGCCCCTCGCTCCCCTCCCCCAAACCACAGCCCGAGCTCGCTCCTGCGCGCGCGCTCTCTCGGGCCCAAGTGAATAGTCCTCGCGCGAGCGGGACACTGTGGTGGATGCAATTCCGCTCGCCTCCAGCCTGCAGGAGCTCCCCGCCACCGCAGGCAGCGTCCTCCTCCGAAGCAGCTGCTCTAGCACCTGGGCAGCCTGGACCCTCGTGCCCTGCCCGCGGGACCTCACGCGGGGGGCGCCCCGGGACACCCCCTGCGGGCCGGGTGGAGGAGGAAGAGGAGGAGGAAGAAGACGTGGGCAAGGACCTCCACTGTATCCAAAACACCTACCTGCGCTGCTGCCACTTATTTTTAAGGAGGAGGAGAAGAGAGCCAGGGAGAGCCATGGGGGGCTGCGAAGTCCGGGAATTTCTTTTGCAATTTGGTTTCTTCTTGCCTCTGCTGACAGCTTGGCCAGGCGACTGCAGTCACGTCTCCAACAACCAAGGTAAGGGACGGGGCGGAGAAGCGGGAGGGGCAGGGAGGTGGAGGGTGTTTTGAGAACCAGCCGCACTGGTCGCCTCCTGCAGGTAACTTGCTCTTGGGGTCAGCTTCTCCCAGGTTCCCTACATGAGGGGCTCAAGGGGGTTGAGGGTGTCCCCTCACCAGAGAGCCTTGTCTACACCGCCCGGGACTGGCGACCCCAAGAGCTACCATAGCCAAGATCCTTTTTGCTTGCAAATGTCCTTAAAGGATCGTATGAGCATCAGCAGTACTTGGGTCTCACCGCTGGCGGCCGCGGGACCGCTCCCCGCTGCGCTGTCTCCCCTGGAGGTCAGGCACTGTGGCACAGACTTAATGGAGACTTCTGGCTCTTGGCGGTCGCTCATAGCAGGGTAACGTGTGGATTCTTCCACATGCCTCTTGAAAGGCAGATTGCTCCCGCTGCGCCCTGTGACCAATTATCAGCCTTTCGCCTTTAGCAGCTCTATGCTCAGCTCTTGTACCCCGTCTACCATCTAAGCCACCGACTGTAGACTTGTTTAAATTATTCCTAGACCAGATGCCCACAGATCTGCGTTGTAGATTCTCTTTCTTGCAGGCAACGAGTAGATAAGAATTAAGTGTGAATTTCCAAGTTGTGAATGTCTTATTCAAAAAGTCGAGTCACTGACAGATTTCTTGGAGGACTTTGTTTCCGTGGGTAAAGTGCTACAGGGAAAGTGAATAGTGTGTGAAAGGTGATGGATCTGAGCATTTTCTTTCCTTCTAGTCAAACAGTTTTTATTAAACATATCTGGTTGAATTTCTGCTATGAGTAAAGATCTACAAAAATGTCACCTTCATATTCTAAATACACTTAGACTGAACATCGAACACCCATAAAAGTTTTCCATCATGTACTTGTCTTGATGCTGTCACTGGCACTGTGATGACCACCAATGTGTCACCTGTTATAGCGCACTGTTTTAAAGACTTCAAATATAAACCAGTGTGGTCAATTACCATTACCATTTAACAAATAAGGAATATGTTCCTGGGTCTCAAAATAATTTGCAGCTGTAAAAATGGAGGTCACATGGCTTGAAAGTGTGCACTTTTTGTGTGAGGCGGAGAAGGTTAAGAGAAGGCAAGTAAACAGCACAGCGTTTTTTTTGTCATAAACATACGACCATTTTATTTAGAAATGTAAGTATTCAGAATCGATATTGAGTTCTCATATATACAGT